GGAATGTTTGATTGTGAAGGATTGTGTCATGGAGGACTTCATGGTTTTCCAGTATGATTGGGCCCTTGGGCCTAGTGTTGTTATATTTTGGAGGAACATACTTCTGAATCATACAGCACTCTTCTGTCAGTTTGATGTACTGAAGTAATCTGGGTTTGCTCTGAAGCTGAGCCTTGTGCCATTTGGGTGTCAAGTGCCATAATGGTTGCCCATGGTGAACAGTGTTTGGCTGAGCTATCAGTTTAAGATAGGTTTGGAAGCAGGAGTGGCATCCACTTCCTAAACAACATGCCTCTGGAAACTCTGAACTTGGAGAAACAATGATAGTGATAGAAAAACTTCAGGTTGTTTGTTCATGGGGTCACATGAGTCATCAATGACTCAACAGCAACAACAACAAATCACAAAGGAATAAATTATTCCTTTTTCTCTCATAAAGCTGCTGGCTCATTCAACCCATGTGCCTTTGGCTTGGCAGCACAACCGCTTACCTCTAAGCACCCAGAGTTCCCTAATCAAAGCTGGGCTGATCCAATTCACTTTACAGTACAATAAACCCAATTGCTTTATAGTTTAATTGTTGTTGTTGTTGTTATGTGCTGTCGAGTCGCTTGTGACTCATAGTGACCCTATGTATAACAGCCCTAAACTCTGCTCTGTCCTGTGTCAATTGCACCATCTCCAATATACCCATCCCGATTACCCCAGTCACTGACTCAATCCACCTCATAGAGGGCCTTCCCCTCCTGCGCTGTCCCTCCACCCTCCCAAGCATGATGTCTTTCTCGAATGACCGGTCCCTCTTTGCAACATGTCCAAAGTATGTTAGATGGAGCCTCAGAATCCTTGCCTCCAAGGAGCCGCCTGGTTTAACCCTTTCCAGGATGAATATGTTTGTTTTCCTTGGTACCCTTAATACTCTTCTCCAGCAACACAGCTCAAAGGTATCAATTCTCCTTCTGTCCTCCTTGGTCATTGTCCGACTCTCTGATGCATAACAAGTGATAGCAAAGACCATGGCCTGTATCAGATGCACCTTAGTCTCAAGAGAGACACCATTGCTCTTCAGTACTTCGGAGAGGTCCCTAAAAGCAGACTTTCCCATCGCAATACATCACAATCAATAATTTCTGGCTGGTGGTACGAAGAGTGTTGATTGTGGAGCCAAGTAAACTAAAGCTGTGAACAATCTCAATCTCTTCACC